TGCTCCCTGTTCACTCCCTGCTGACACTGTCCACTGCCCCCACAAAATCATTGTGAAAAAAATAATACAGAAATAAATTGTAAAAAATTATTAAAAATTAGATTATAAAAAAATGTAAAAATTCTGACACCCACACCATTGCTCTACTGACACCATACACTGGCCACCCAAAAGCATTTTGAAAAAAAAAATGATAAAAATAATAAAACACTAATTTGTAAAAAAAATCATGAATTGTAAAAAATAAAATACTAATAAAAATAAAGAACTACTGACACCACCTACTGACACCATCGTACACATACTACCATACAGCCATACACTCCGCACTCCTCTCCCTGTACATACTACCCACTGTCATACACACCACACTGTACATTCCCTATTTAACATTACCTCATTCTGCACTATATAAGTCATCTCAGACACTATTTAACCACACCCCTTTTAAGCCATGCCCAATTTTTAGTGCAATTTAAAACACACCCCTCCAATCTCATCCCTTCCTCTCTTTCTCACTCCTCCTCCACTGTCTCTCTCTCTCACACCCCTCCTCTTTTTCACCCTCTCACTCCCCTCTCTCTTTCACTTCCCCCACATGGCAGCCATCTTTAAACCTGGAAGTGCCCAGTGGCTTCTACAGAAAGAAGCCGGGAACATTCATGCAGACTTTGCTGCAGTAAATATTTAAATGCCCCTTCTATGCATCTGAGCTGCAATATGTAGGTAGGGTGTTGTGTGGGTGTGGCTTGAGTATAGGCGGGGGAAACAGGGGGCCCCATGAGTTGTCAGTCCGCCCCTGAGTGTGTGTGTGTATATGTATAAATACTGTATAATAATAATAATAATATGTGTGCGTGTGTGTGCATATATATATATATTCAAGGATTAATTATATTTATGTATTGTAAAGGAGGGCGTCATGAGACCTAAGAGCTGTTTATGTCCTTTTAACAGATTGTAAGTTGGTGATAGAAGAAAGAGTTGTCACCCACAAAAGTTTTAACACTGAAATAAATGTGGCAGAATAAATTGCTCAATTGCTCAGTAGATGGTGCTAGTAAGCCACGTAACCTTGCTGCAAGTGTTGTTATCAAGAATTTTCCCTATACATTCACTTTGCTGCTTCAAGCCTATAGCAGTTTTGTGTCTAAAATACAAATTAAGTATGAACACAGACAAGAGAATGTTTTGTTCTCAGAGAAGTTTTTTCTCTTTGTAAAAAAAAAATATTCAAACATGTGAAAAGTTATTTAACATAAATACATCATCTGTGATATTGAATAAAAGATTGCAAAGTACCAGCCTGGGAAGCAGAATTTCCTATTTTGATTTTATATGGGTCTGAACGCATCACAGGATTATTGATCTGATATGCAAGAGCGTGCATAAGTTCTCAGAACACAATTATTATTTTTAAATTATTATATTGATCTATTATTAAAAAAAGTCATACTTATTCATATTAGTATTACTCCTATTTTAGTGAATACAAGCGGCGCATACACTTCATAATGCTATCATCAAACATCAATTATCACTCATATATTATGTATCATTCTTTGACTTCACCATTATTTCTGTAACAAAAAATACATAAAAATAAAAATAAATAAAAACTTAATAAATATGACACATGATGTGATATTACACAAATCCCGTGACTTTAATATTATATATATATATATATATATATATATATATATATATAAGCTCAAAAAAAAGTCCAGTGATAAAAAAAGTGATAAAGAAGAAATTAAAGTTCAGTGCTGAAATAATTTCATGTGATGAAGAAAACTTTGAAGTGTTGAAACCTTGTGCTGTGCTCACCGTGCACCCCCACTCAGGTGTGCACTCACCAGATATTGCCTTTGTTAAAGCATAATCAAGAGGATATCCATTAATTAGACCAGGAGGTTCCTCTAAGAATAGCCCACTCAATGATTGGTTGCCAGGATAATTCAAAAACTCCACTCCACCATACCATGAAAAGAGAAGAAAAATATCCGCTTCAATAGTATATTACCCAAGATAAATGGCTATATTTGCTTAAAGTAATACACTTCTAACATTAAAAACATCAACATGCCCAAATGATATGTCTTTGTGACAAGCAGATACCGCATGGTGCTCTCTCCACCTCCGGAACTGTCTAACAGAACGCTGTCACATCACTTCCAGTTATGGATCTACGGCACTTCTGGTCTGCCGCACCATCACGCACTGACTCGTTTCGTCATATCCTGGCTTACTCATAGGGGTCTCCTATGTGTGTCATTCCATCATTCACAAGACTCTCTTCTATACTGTATGCTTTTTCCTCCCTCCCCAGCCACTGTACCCGTCACACTGAGAGGTGCATGGCAGAAGGGTTGTGTAGTGCTGTGGAGAAGCTTAATAAAGAACCATAAAACTGGTTCACCAAGAGGTCTGCTTGACCACGCCTGACAGTGGTTGAATCCATAGTGCACATTCAGTCCAATAGCAGTTTTCAGTTCCACCCACCACCATGCGCTGTCAAAGTTAAGGCAGACCTTCTGGGTAAATAGTTGCTCAGCTCCCCATCAGACTCCTTCCACCCAGTGACACAAGTCATTTTCCAAACTTGGCCATTGCCATATTTGGGTAATGACATCATCAGTATCCCTGGCCCCTTTGCTTACATTTGTCTTTCGACTATGGAGTCTCCCGCCTGACAGCTGAATGGGGCCAGGGATAGAGCCCTATGCGGGAAGCTGTCAGATACATGGCTCAGCCATACCTGCTCTGAATACATACTTTACGCTAGCTCAGAGCTGGCCTTAATTGTTGCCAGTTTCCTAATTTGTAAGTGGCGGTATTTTTTTTAAGAATCTGTCATAGCAATGAGTTTTTAAAGTGGAAGTAGTTAGAACTACCTCAATTTGTCGCTGGTGTTGGTAATGTTATCGCAACGGGTACAAATGTTTACCTGCATTAGGTTCAGGTAGTTCTAAAGTAAACTGGATAACTAAATACACTGCGCCAAAAATATATATTTCTAAAGTAAATTAAAATCTGCTACCTTCCACTCTATACACAAAAAATTCATATACTCAAATAGGGAAGCGCAAATTAATATCCTCCAAAAATGGGAAAAATAAAAACATGTAATAATTTATACTATTAATTCATAATCATTTTTCTATAACATAAATAATGAGCAAATATATATATATATATATATATATATATATAGACACTGTTCAAAAAAATTAAAGGAACACTTTGAAAACACAGCAGATCTCAATGGGGAAAAATATCATGCTGGATATCTATACTAATATGAAGTGGCCGGGGGTTAGGAACGTAAGGATACCACATTGTTTGATGGAAATTAAAATTATCGACCCTAAAGAGGACTGAATTCAAAGACACCCTGAAAATCAAAGTGAAAAAATGATGCAGCAGGCTAGTCCATTTTGCTGAAATTTCATTGCAGCAACTCAAAATGGTGCTCAGTAGTCTGTATGGCCCCCACATGATTGTATGCATGCCTGACAATGTCAGAGCATGCTCCTAATGAGATGACGGATGGTGTCCTGGGGTATTTCCTCCTAGATCTGGACCAGGGCATCACTGAACTCCTGGACAGTCTGAGGGGCAACCTGGCGTTATCGGATGGAACGAAACATGATATCCCAGAGGTGTTCTATTGGATTTAGGTCAAGCAAGCGTAGGGGCCATTCAATGTTATCAATTACTGCATCCTTCAGGAACTGCCTGCATACTCTCGCTACATGAGGCCTTTGCAATATCCTGCACCAGGAGGAACCCAGGGCCCACTGCACCAGCATAGGGTCTGACAATGGGTCCTGTCAGGAATGGACTTGCCAGTAATGGTGGGACTCACCTGCCTTGTGGGCTGCAGTACCAGGGCTGGCCAGCGGGTGCTCCCAGCAATCAGAGACTCAACCCTGCAGCCAGCCAAACACCTGAAGTTGATTATGCAGGTGTATTTAAGGGATGGCCAGACCTGCAGTCTCTGCCTTGGTGTGTGTTTTTCCCGGGCCCTGTATCTTGTTCCTGCATCCCTGTCCCTGTTCCTGTCTCTGTCTGATTCGTTGCTGACCCTGCCTGATCCAGACCTCTGCTGACTTCTCCTGTTTTATCTCTGGCTTGTGACCCCGACCATTCTCTGCCTGACCCCCTGTACCTACCTGCCTGATTGTTATTGACCCGGCCTGCCTGACGACGCTTGCATTGTATGTACTGTTATCTGTGGGTGGTTTGGTTTGGTTCGTTTGCACTGTGTTATGTTTTAGTATTGCACTGCGTTTATGTTTGTATTGTTAGTCTTTAATAAATTATATTGTTTATAACTTATCTGAAGCCTGCGTTTCCCTGCGTCAGTTCACATACCTCTGGTCATACCCTGGAGCCCTGACATTACACCAAGGCCAATCCTGACCAGAAGTGGCTGCACAGGGAAGCCATCTTGGCTTGTTGCTGGGAAGGATGGATCTGGATGAGGTTGTGTATTTATCTCTGCTAGTGTTTGATGACAGAGAGTATGCTTATCAAACTCTGAAGGAGTATCCCCGGGATGAACTGCTAGAATGTATACGGATCGCTCATGTTCTAGTAGATCAGGGCACAGAGTTCTCTGAGGTGCAGCCATTGATTCAGGTTTTTGCTGAGTTGGTTTCATCTGGTACCCCCGAATGCAGGGATGAATTTTTGCCCCCATTTAGTGCCGACCAGGTAGAGTCCCTGGTATGGTTATTAGAGGATGATGTGGATTACTTTCTGGAGCGTTATTCTGCATGTTCACAACAGGTACTAAGAGATTGTATAAACGCAGTGCAGTCTTTGGTCAGACAGGCTTTGTGTAAGCTGAGCTTTGTTCAACCCATACTGCAGACATGGTCAGACTTGTTGCACCCAGCCTCAGTCAGCTTGCAAAAACCCAGTCCTGCTTCTAATCTATTTCTTCAAAGCTCTATTCCTGCATTCCCAACAGCACCTCCAGTTACAGCCCAGTATACCCTGCTATCTACCGCATGTCAGTACCCTGTTCCCACTCGCTGCACCTATCCTGCCTTTAACCCTGTAAAGAAGCCCTCTGTAGCAACTGTTTCCTCCCCTGTTCCATCCTCCAGCTCTTCTCTGTCTCCAGCTGCTCCATCCGTTTACAAACCTGCGCTTACTTACGGTGCTCCGGTAACTAAAACCAGGAAAAGGCGAAAGTTCTTTCCAACCAATACCATCCTGCCAGTATCCAAACCGGTCAGCCTCCCATCTGAGAACCCATCTTCCGTGGTGCAGTCTGGTGCCTCGGCGCCCACAATTCAGCCTGATGCCTCTACCCAGCCTGATGCCTCTACCCAGCCTGATGTCTCTACCCAGCCTGATGCCTCCATTCAGCCTGATGCCTCCATTCAGCCTGATGCCTCTACCCAGCATGATGTTTCTACCCAGCCTGATGAACTGATCCAGCCTGATGATTCCATTAGGCCAGTTGACTCGATGCCCGCTGTCGATCCAGACGATCCGGTACCTGATGACCCAGTACCCACTGTCATGCCTGGTGACCCGATGCCCGCTGTCGAGCCAGATGATCCAATGCCTGATGACCCAGTGCCCCCTGTCATGCCTGGTGACCCGATGCCCGCTGTCGGGCCAGACGATCCAATGTCTGACCCAGTGCCCGCGGTCATGCCAGTTGACTCGGAGCCCACTGTCGTGCCTGGTGACTCGGTGCCCACTGCCTTGCCAGATGACGCGGTGCCCGCTGGCGAGCCAAGTGACCTGATGCCTGGTGACTCAGTGCCCGCTGTCATGCCTGGTGACCCGATGCCCGCTGTCAAGCCAGACGATCCAATGCCAGATGACCCGGTGCCCGCTGTCGATCCAGACGATCCGGTACCTGATGACCCGGTGCCCGCTGTCGTGCCAATTGACTCAGAGCCCACTGTCGTGCCTGGTGACTCGGTGCCCACTGCCTTGCCAGATGACGCGGTGCCCGCTGTCGAGCCAAATGACCTGATGCCTGGAGACCCGATGCCCGCTGTCGAGCCAGACGATCCAATGTCTGACCCAGTGCCCGTGGTCATGCCAGTTGACTCAGAACCCACTGTCGTGCCTGGTGACTCGGTGCCCACTGCCCTGCCAGATAACGCGGTGCCCGCTGGCGAGCCAAATGACCTGATGCCTGGTGACCCGATGCCCGTTGTCGTGCCTGATGACCCGGTGCCCGCCGCTCCGCCTGGGAGCCCGGTGCCCACCGCTCCGCCTGGGGGCCCGGCGCCCGCCGCTCCGTCGTCTGGGGGCCCGGCGCCCGTCGCTCCTCCTGGGGGCGCGGTGCCTGCTGCCCCTCCTGGGGGCCCGGTGCCTGCCGCTCCGCCTGAGGGCCCGGCGCCTGCCGCTCCGCCTGGGGGCCCGATGCCTGTCGCCCCGCCTGGGGGCCCGATGCCTGTCGCTCCGCCTGGGGGCACCGGCGCCTGTCGCCCCGCCTGGGGGCCCGGCGCCTGCCGCCCCGCCTGGGGGCCCGATGCCTGTCGCCCCGCCTGGGGGCCCGATGCCTGTCGCCCCGCCGCCTGGGGGCCGATGCCTGTCGCTCCGCCTGGGGGCCCGGCGCCTGTCGCCCCGCCTGGGGGCCCGGCGCCTGCCGCTCCGCCTGGGGGCCCGGCGCCTGCTGCCCCGCCTGGGGGCCCGATGCCTGTCGCCCCGCCTGGGGGCCCGATGCCTGTCGCTCCGCCTGGGGGCCCGACGCCTGTCGCCTCTCCTGGGAGCCCGGCGCCCGCCGCCCCGCCTGGGGGCCCGGTGCCTGCTGCTCCACCTGGTGATCCGGTGTCCAGCTCGATGTGCCTCTGCCCGGAGTCCAGCTCGATGTGCCGCTGCCCGGAGTCCTGCCCGATGTGCCGCTGCCCGGAGTCCTGCCCGATGTGCCGCTGCCTGGAGTCCTGCCCAATGTGCCTCTGCCCGGAGTCCTGCCCGATGTGCCTCTGCCCGGTGTGCCGCTGCCCGGAGTCCTGCCCGATGTGCCGCTGCCCGGAGTCCTGCCCGATGTGCCTCTGCCCGATGTGTGCTGCTGCCCGGAGTCCTGCCCGATGTGCCGCTGCCCGGAGTCCTGCCCGATGTGCCGCTGCCCGGAGTCCAGCCCGATGTGCCTCTGCCCGGAGTCCAGCTCGATGTGCCTCTGCCCGATGTGCCGCTGCCCGGAGTCCTGCCCGGTGTGCCGCTGCCCGGAGTCCTGCCCAGTGTGCCGCTGCCCGGAGTCCTGCCCGGTGTGCCGCTGCCCGGAGTCCTGCCTGGTGTGCCGCTGCCGGAGGAGTCCTGCCCGATGTGCCGCTGCCCGGAGTCCTGCCCGATGTGCCTCTGCCCGGTGTGCCGCTGCCCAGAGTCCTGCCCGGTGTGCCGCTGCCCGGAGTCCTGCCCGGTGTGTGCCGCTGCCCGGAGTCCTGCCCGATGTGCCAGTCTTTGATATCCCGCCAGTTACCAGACCCGGGCGGTGGAACATTTTGCCCTGCTAGGACTGTTTGGAGCGTCCTGAGGCCGCTCCTTGAGGGGGGGGGGTACTGTCAGGAATGGACTTGCCAGTAATGGTGGGACTCACCTGCCTTGTGGGCTGCAGTACCAGGGCTGGCCAGCGGGTGCTCCCAGCAATCAGAGACTCAACCCTGCAGCCAGCCAAACACCTGAAGTTGATTATGCAGGTGTATTTAAGGGATGGCCAGACCTGCAGTCTCTGCCTTGGTGTGTGTTTTTTCCCGGGCCCTGTATCTTGTTCCTGCATCCCTGTCCCTGTTCCTGTTCCTGTCCCTGTCTCTGTCTGATTCGTTGCTGACCCTGCCTGATCCAGACCTCTGCTGACTTCTCCTGTTTTATATCCCTGGCTTGTGACCCCGACCATTCTCTGCCTGACCCCCTGTACCTACCTGCCCGATTGATATTGACCCGGCCTGCCTGACGACGCTTGCATTATATGTACTGTTATCTGTGGGTGGTTTGGTTTGGTTCGTTTGCACTGTGTTATGTTTTAGTATTGCACTGCGTTTATGTTTGTATTGTTAGCCTTTAATAAATTATATTGTTTATAACTTATCTGAAGCCTGCGTTTCCCTGCGTCAGTTCACATACCTCTGGTCATACCCTGGAGCCCTGACAGGTCCAAGGATTTCATCCCGATACCTGATGGCAGTCAGGGTGCCATTGTCTAGCCTGTAGAGGTCTGTGTGTCCCTCCATGGATATGTCTCCCCAGAACATCATTGACCCACCACCAAAACAGTCATGCTGAACGATGTTACAGGCAGCATAAAATTCGAAATTCCACAGCTTCTCCAGACCCTTTCACGTCTGTCACATGTGCTCAGGGTGAACCTGCTTTCATCTGTGAAAAGCACAGGGCACCAGTGGCGGACCTGCCAATTCTGGTGTTCAATGCAAATGCCAATCGAGCTCTATGGTGCCAGGCAGTGAGCACAGAGCCCACTAGAGGAGGTCGGGCCCTCAGGCCACTCTCATGAAGTCTGTTTCCAGTTTTTGGTCAGAGACATTCACACTAGTGACCTGCTGGAGGTCATTTTGTAGGGCTCTGGTAGTGCTCATCCTGTTCCTCCTTGCACAAAGGAGCAGATATCGGTCCTGCTGATGGGTTAAGGACCTTCTATGGCCCTGTCCAGCTCTCCTAGAGTGACTGCCTGTCTCCTAGAATCTCCTCCGTCCTCTTGAGACTGTGGTGGGAGACACAGCAAACCTTCTGGCAATGACATGTATTGATGTACCATCCTGGAGGAGTTGGACTACCTGTGCAACCTCTGTAGGGTCCAGGTATCGCCTCATGCTACAAGTAGTGACACTGACCCTAGCCAAATGCAAAACTAGTGAAAAACAGTCAGAAAAGATGAGTAGGGATAAAAAGGTCAGTGGCCTCTACCTGTAAAACCATTCCTGTTGTGAGGGTCATCTCATTGTTGCCCATCTACTGCACCTGTTGTAAATGTCATTAACACCAAAGCAGCTGAAACAGATTAACAACAACCTCTGCTACTTAACTGGTCAGATCAATATCCCAGGAGTTTAATTGACTTGACGCTATACTCTGATTAAAAATGTTCATTTAATTTTTTTGAGTAGTGTATATACAGTGGATATAAAAAGTCTACACACCCCTGTTAAAATGTGAGGTTTCTGTGATGTAAAAAAATGAGACAAAGATAAATCATCTCAGAACTTTTTCCACCTTTAATGTGACATATACGCTGTCCAAACCCAATTGAAAAACAAACTGAAATCTATTAGGGGGGGAGTAAACATAAAAAACTAAAATAATGTGGTTGCATAAGTGTGCACACCCTCTTATATCTGGGATATAGCTGTGTTCATAATTAAGCAATCATACTCAAAATCATGTTAAATAGCAGTCAGTGCCATCATTTAAAGTGCCTCTGATTAACGCCATATAAAGTTCAGCTGTTCTAGTAGGTCTTTCCTGACATTTTTTTAGTTGCATCCTACAGCAAAAGCAATGGTCCGCAGAGAATTTCCAAAGCATCAGAGGGATCTCATTGTTAACAGGTATCAGTCAGGAGAAGGGTATAAAAGAATTTCCAAGGCATTAGATATACCATGGAACACAGTGAAGACAGTCATCATCAAGTGGAGAAAATATGGCGCAACAGTCACATTACCAAGAACTGGACACCACTCGAAAATTGATGAAAAGACGAGAAGAAAACTTGTCTGGGAGGCTGCCAAAAGGCCTACAGCAACAATAAAGTAGTTGCAGGAATATCTGGCAAGTACTGGCTGTGTGTTACATGTGACAACAATCTCCCATATTCTTCATATGTCTGGGCTATGGGGTAGAGTGGCAAGATGGAAGCCTTTTCATATGAAGAAAAACATACAAGCCCAGCTGAAGTCTGCAAAAACACACCTGAAGTGTCCCAAAAGCATGTGGGAAAATGTATTATGGTCTGATGAAACCAAGGTTGAACTTTTTGGCCATAATTCCAAAAGATATGTTTGGTGCAAAAACAACACTGCACATCACCAAAAGAACACCATACCCACAGTGAAGCATGGTGGTGGCAGCATCATGCTTTGGGGCTGTTTTTCTTCAGCTGGAACTGGGGCCTTAGTCAAAATAGAAGGAATTATGAACAGGTCCGAATACCTGTCAATATTGGCACAAAACCTTCAGGCTTCTGCTAGAAAGCTGAACATGAAGAGGAACTTCATCTTTCAGCATGACTACGACCCAAAGCATACATCCAAATCAACAAAGGAATGGCTTCACCAGAAGAAGATTAAAGTTTTGAAATGGCCCAGCCAGAGCCCAGACCTGAATCTGTGGGGTGATCTGAAGAGGGCTGTGCACAAGAGATGCCCTCATTATCTGACAGATTTGGAGGGTTTTTACAAGGATGAGTGGGCAAATATTGCTAAGATGTGCCACGCTGATAGACTCATACCCCAAAAGACTCAAAGGTAATTTAACAAAGTATTAGCTTAAGGGTGTGCACACTTATGCAACCATATTATTTTAGTTTTTTTATTTTTACTTCCCTCCACCTAAAAGATTTCAGTTTGTTGTTTGTTCAACTGAGTTGTACAGTTTATAGGTCACATTAACACACCTTCCCACTTGGCCTATAGTAGATTGATGGCGGGGAGGGACATTCCTCGTTGTGACTGGGCATCATATGACGTCCTGTCAAATGAGCCACTCATGCAGCCATGGGGTAATTTGGGGGGTGCAGCGGCGCGATCTGTCACCGGCTGTGTCCACGGGACACAGCCAATGACATATCACTACCCATTGCCAGTGTCATGTGACCGCTATAGTGATCAGGGGGTCAGTATTGAATTTTATTACAGTTGTGACCAATCACAGCAGTAAATCACATGTCAATTGTATACAAAAGATGGCTTCCTCTCAT